AAAAAAAGTCCAATCTTTCCAATAAGAAAACAATAAGAAAGACGCGCAAATTAACGTGGTTTTGGGTTGTCGTACTGTCCTTCATCCTAGCAAGCGATCTAAAAAGTGAAGTTACCTTCTGACACCACATTTTTGAGAGGTGAGAGGGGCAAAAACGAACCCCCACCCCCTCCAAAAAAAAATTGTTGCCGACCCGAAGCCGGATAAACAAACACATTCTAGAATGACGAAAGCTAAGGCGCAATTTAGGTAGAATTTACCTTAATATTTCGAGGGAGGTTTTAAATTATTAATTTTCAGGGAGGCTTGAAATGCATGCATAATAAGGATTTGCCTGTAACTCGATTAAAATACGACCGCATTTCATGACCCGATGTCTCATTTATCACGGGCCAAACATTTACACTGATATAGCACTGATATACAATCTTGCGCAGAAAATGTTGGAGAGTACTTAATTGACGTAGTTTGCCTCAATATGATTACAATGATGTATTACGACTGACCTTTGTCGTCCTCGAGACGTGTACACTTTAGGTTAACCCTATTCAGACTGGAGGGGGGGGGCTTTTGACCCCCCCCCCTCCTCGCGTAAAAAGCCAATAACTTTCGAACCAAGACATCTAATGCTCTGAAACTTTGTTGGAAAGTACTTAATTGACGTAATTTACCTCAATATGAATTACAATGATCTATTACGACTGACCTTTGTACGCTTTAGGGTAAATTGATCACTAAGGTCTAGGCAAGCGGTTGTTCCTCTTGACCATCGCCCAAGCTGTCATACGAATTTTCTTCAGCGTGAGGTTTAAACTCAAAACTGTGAGTTGTATATAATGAGTATATAGTCATAGTTCTTACTTAAATTAAAAGCTGAGTACAGTGTCAGAGTTTCCAAATATCAGTTTTATGTAGTTTAGACTATATATATATGAACGATTTTCAGCTAATTTGTGTTTCACTTCATCAGAAGTGGTTACTTATCGTTTTACAGAGTTTGACATGAATCAGTTCCAATTAAACACAGTTGCTAGTTTGTTTTTGATGCTTGTTCGAATGTAAGATAGACGCAGTGAGACGAGGATTGGGTTGATAAGAGATTGGAGATGAAGGAATGTTGCACAGATAGGTGCTGAGATGTATTTAAAATCATCAGTGACATCCGAACCCTCGATGGCTTGTATCACTGTGACTACAACTACAGGAACGTAAAAGAGAATCGACGCGATCACTAATATGCTCGTCATGAACACTCGCCTGTATTCTTTGAGTCGTTCTTGTTGTCGTTGTTGCTCGTCGGGCTGTAGAACGGATTCTTGCTGTAGGGCGATGGCTCTACGCTGGCGGTAAGCTGTCACTTGTACTTTKATTGAGCAGTACAAAATGACTAGAGTGCTGAAACCAATAAAAACCAAGTGGGGAACTTTGAACATACCTTGGTTGCTWTTTATYGAAAAAATGAARACAMTGACCATCGGAGTAATGCTTCCTGCCCAGTAAATCATCGTTCCTAACATAACCCTTCTTGCTGTCACCATCTTAAGGTAAAAATTCGGATGTTCAATAGCAAGGTATCTTTCAAAACTCACTAAAGTTAAAGTAAAATGAGTTAAGCCGCAAAGAATTAAGGATGATAAAATATAAACGGTGGAAGTGCAAGGCGAATGTATATTGCCTACAAGACATCTCAGGTAAAAGCAAAAGATTGGTGCGACAAGCAAACCCACTAGAAAGTCTGTCACAGCTAAAGCCGCAAGCAAAATGTTAAAACAAGATGACCGGAGATCTTCATTACCAAGGACAGCCCAAATAATCAGTGCATTTATGACGACTGTTGGAGGAGACGCTACACCATTGACAACAGAAAGAAAGTTCCAAGTTGGATCGACTGAATCTGGACGGTCTGTCATGTTGTTGACATCGAT